GAGAGATCGTCGTCTTCCATCCTGCGCTTTATGCCGATCACTGAGTTCTCTCGTTTGGGTGTTTTCAGAATGGGCACGGGGGACGCTTTGGCTAGCATCTTAGAAGGATTGGTCAACGGCCTGCGCGAGGCGGTGGCAATGGATCCGACCATGACCGAACTGATATTTCTATGGAAGGATGAACGCAAGGGTATTGGAGCAGTAACCGGATTCCATTCAGGACGAATGAAAGAAGGGTTCAGCGTGGGGGAGATGACAGACGAGAGCTGTCGACAGGTCAGACGGTGGATGGTAAACGCGATGCACACAACACGGCTGAGGCAAGTCGCTCAGTGAGCCTCGGACGTTGCTACAGGGGACGGACACAGTAAATGATCAAGGGAATAAGCACCTTGATCTATCCATTAAAAGACACACACAGCGCCAGGACAGGGGGACAACGTGGGAGACGGGCGCAGGTAGACTTCAACAGAGGGGAGAACGGCTGGAAGGAGAGAGAAGATAGGAATTTGAACGCAAGGCGGAGAAGACGTAGAAGAAACACAGCGTGAAATTTTTTGGGTGTGGGGCGGATGTGGAGCCTGAGGCCGCTACCCCGTGACTAGCGCGTGACCCTCGCGCCTGAGGCCTTGCCTACTTGGGACTTTGGGGCATATGTATGTTTCCGGTTGGAATCTGTCTCTTCGCTCCACTTTCGGCCTCAACCTGATCTACATCTCGACGCTTTCTGCACATAATATGAGAACTTATTGCATTGGGAAAGGCAAGTATTTACTAGCAAAAAGCAAACTACTATTGCCGGAAATAAGCAAAGATAGAAACCATGGTCGCATTCAGTGACTAGCACAGATTAACATCTCTATCAGACAGATATGCAATGTTTTCACATAACATCCACAATACACAACAGACCAAGGAGAAACAAACATGGGACACAGACAATCACAATCCTCCCGTGGTATATAGCGGATGAAGGTTCAGAACGGCAAATATAGGACAAGACATTAAAAGAGTGAATACGAGTGGGTCATGACACAGGCTAGCACCTGATTAAAAGAAAGGGATAATCCAGTACCCAGAAGAAAATTGCCATCTCACTGGACAGTGGCCATCGGAAAACGTGAAGGAATGGAAAGGAGCGCCAGCTGCTTAGAGCCAGGTGCCGGAGGCAATTGGTCCTCGCCAATGATCGAACATGCTCCCATAGAAGTCTTCAATCTCAACCAGATACTCATCAACAGTGAACTTCCTCAACCCTTTGTCTCGCAAGATCAGTTCTTCCTCATCGAGCACGCGCGTACCACCGAACTCCTCGACGACCTCGTTCACCTGCTCAAGTTCTTTGCTGAAAGGGTGAGGTTCCATGTGATAAGCCTCAGAACCTTGACGAACAGCGGAGGTGCTGCGTGTCGAGTTCAAGGGGGGAGGTGACAGTCGAGACACAGATCGTTTGCGGGCTAGCTCTTGATGCGAGCGCTTCGTGTGAGACAGGGCGCGCTTGGGTACTAGAGGTGCCTCCGCTGAAGACGCAGTGGATGTTGAGGAACGAGTAGTGTGGCTGCTAACAGTCGCTGAGCGCTTGGGAAAGTAAGTGGGTAGAGGGGCGGGATCGGCATCAACGGGGGATTCGCCCGGCGTTGTGACAGGCGATCCAAAGCTGCGCTGTGTAAAGGAGACATCTGAATCATCGGGCCACTGAATTGAAGATGTTGAAGATGAGGACGCAGAATGAAGGTCCGGAGCATTGTAGGCCAGCATGTTTGTGGTCGACAATAACTCAACGGGCGCAGAGATCTTGCCTCGGTTGATAGTGCCTGCACTGAACTTAGAATGTCCCTCACGGTAAGGCATCGGCGCGGAGACCTCAGGGCGCTTGCTGCGCTTCGTGAAGGCCCTGGTGAGAGTCGACATGGTGGTAATACTCGGGATCTATACGAACAACAGACGGCCGGGATGATCAATCGGTGCTGATAAGGGCCGATCTATTCGACTGGATCAGTCGGCCTATTTGTTTGTGTGTCGTTCGCTTCTTTTAGTAAGAAGATATGGATTTTGCCGTGGACGTTGTCTCCTATTTTTAGACGCTTCTCTCCAAGTACTCAACTCGTTTGCAAAAGTGCCAGTCGCCTTGCGTGGAATAGACCGAGAATGTGTAGTGGATGATCGCGGGGTGGCGGAGACCAAGAAGGAATGGAAGATCGATTGTCGGAATGTCCGTTATCAAATGCGACTGAAGCGCTCTTGAGATTCCGAAAGAGATCGAATCAGTGGACGTTTCCTATCGAAAGGTTTTGTGTATTTCTTCCAGAATAATTCGTGCACAGCAGAAAGGAAGAAAACAGTTGGTCGGAAGGCAAATAGGATATTCGGAAAGGATGGACTGCACGAGTCAAGGGGGAGCCGACGACTTCAACGCAGCAGCAGCACCGAGATGTGAGAAGGTCCGGGCGGACAACCAGGACGCGCCACGGTAGAGAATAGAATTGAAAAGCCTTTCGAGGTATGAAGGCAGGGAAGGAGGGAAAGGAAAGGAAGGGGATCCAGGATTCTCCGATCGAGGATGTAAGAATCAAAGTACGAGAAAGGAACGGCGAATAACCCCCAAGGAGGAATGGAGGAGAAAAGAAAGAGGGGAAAGAGGAGGGAAAAGAAGAGGCCCGGGGAGGAAGGAAAGAAAAGGGCAGACGAGGGACGGGACCGAAGGAGGAAAGCAAAGGAAAGAGGCAACAGTCACAGTCGAGTCACTAGTCAACTCGTAAGTTATTGGGGAGGGGGGATGATCTCTCTTTGCTCTCTTTGCTCTCTTTGCTCTTTCTTTTTTTTTTCTCTCCTCTTTTTGCTCTACTCCATAAATCGTACCGTACTATCCTCCTCTCTGGTGCCTCCTTCAGCGCTTCTAATCTCCACTTGATCTCGCAGAACAAAAAGTCTGGGCTGCTCGGGAGGTCAAATTGGTGGGTTGTTCCGTGGAAAATCAAGCCCTGCGCCAAACCTCCGGCCCAGTAAGGTTCAATTGCTTGCTTGCGATGCCCTTTGTTCACCTGTGGTTCGGCTTAGTATTGGCGCTGGTTTAGGCCCAGAATGGGGAACAATGGACCTTCCAGAAAGAAAGATAATTCGCCTCTCCAGCCGTTCGTGCCTCTCTTGGTGAAAAAAGTCGATCAAAGAGTTTGGTGCAGTCGAACCACCGGTTCGTCGCTGGGGTAATTATTTGATCGAACCAGCAACACAGCATAGGGAAAGCCCAAGAATTGGGATCTTGCGAGGGGACTGACTGACTGCATAATTCTTGCCCAAATAGTACGTTGCGCTCAGTACTCACCTCTTTTTTTGTTCCGGTGCTCCGACGGGCAGCGCAGGCAAGTCAGGCGCGGCTAGTCGTGCGCTGCGATTTGCTGCATAGATCGAATAGTCTCGACCTCCAGGAGCGTTCGAGATTCCACAGTACCAAATCGGCCACGGCAAAGGTGCTACGTCCGGTGGCCAATGATACATGAGGCGTCGAAGGTGGGGTACACTGGACTTATCCAGCATGACATGGAGACCATAACTACGGAGATAGTCTACGATGTAAGCTAGGGGTTTAAGTGTACGAGCCATGCTTATGCACCCCAGCACGAACTCAAGGACCTAAGGGATAAAGACCCCGCGGAACCCTAGATGCCACGATAAGACCAGCTCAGCTAAAAGCTCGAGCTACCCTAGAGATCCCAACGGTAGGGGGGATTTAGGGATCGACGGAATTTCATGGACAAAGAACAAAGAAATCTCATGGAACGGTAAAAGTTCCGTGTTGTAGTCGTCTGGGACGATGGTGATTCGAAGAGATAGTCGGAATCATCTAAACCCAAGCGGGCGTGGTCAAACACGGGACTGCATTGCACTGCAGCGACGATGGCCAGCCCACTCGGGTTCTGGGCCAAGAAAGGCAAGGTGGCGCGGCCCTGGCGGGCCTCCTGGAAACCGCCATGTGCCCTGAGCGGTGGGGATGAAACAAACTGCCGTCTCACCTGCTCGGACTCTGTGACGGATGCTCAAATCCGCATGACGTTGCTTGTTTTCCCCCTTCCGCATGCAGTTCACATCATTGGTTCTGGTTCTGGCTACTTTTAGCCTTTTCAGCTACTCATGCTTCTTCAGTGTTCCACAGCTCATGTTGTCGGCCGGGGTCGACCCCTGACCGAATGAATGGTCTAAGTTAGAGTATGTACCGCATGAGGAGAGGATCAGGATCTGTTCGTGCTTGCGGGCAGGGCAGTGGGCAAGTCTGAGATTTTCAGCTTCCCCACTCCCGGGTCAACTTAATTACAATTAGATTGGCTCTCAGTTGACCTGTGCTTTTTTAGTGCGGATTCCTTTCTCTCCCACCACGTCTCTTCACGATGATACATCCGGTGGCTCGGATTCCCTGCATCAGATTCCCTGTCTCAATAGAGCTGGGTTCTTGGTTATCTGTCACTTGTTCAGGTGCGTCACCGGACGGAGGTGATCATCAATTTCCTTCATTCATTCCTTACATCACCGGTGATGGTACTCCGTATTCCGTACTCTCCGACCTTTCCGTAACTACATTACCTCATGAACTGTACTCCGTACCACCGAGTGCAAGACACAGGTCCGGTACTCCGTACGTAGGACTTTGTCAAACTTTGCTGAATGGAATCCGAGGATGAGCCAGGCCAGACACACCATGTGATTGGTACTGCACTCAACCTGAGGCACCAGGCAATGTCTGTTCTCGGTAAACCAAACGGCCGATCATTGCCAGGCCGGGCGATCCCCCGTCCGCGCTTAAGTTACCTACGAGTAGTATTTATCATCGATTCCAGTTTCATCCTCTGAATGGGTATCGTGACGTTTTCATTGCAGGTCAATAAGGACTATGAAAAGAAACAGACAACAAAAAGAAGCACGACAAAACTATCTAGATATATTCGTAAATTTTGGGGGTTCGACATGAAATTGTCTCGATTGTCGTCATCACGTGCTTTCGCTTGGCCTTAATCCTCATCCATCGACTCCCAGCCATCGCCGCCCTGCCCACCGCCAACCTCCTGTCCAGCATCATCGTCCGACTCATCCTGATCGGGCTGCATGCCCACCATGCGCTCCTTGACCTCACCTTCCAGAGACGGCATGCGCGACACGAATGCGCGACGCACCGCCCCGTTGGTGGAGGTATCCCAAATCTGGACCACGCCCTTGCTGCCGGCCACGGCCAGGCGGAAGCTCACGTCGGCATCCGGTGCAAAGCTCGTCGAGAAGACCTTGCCCACCTCCAACTTGCGCGAGACGACCATGCTGGGCTTGTTGTTCTCAACATTCCAGAGCTTCACCTGCTTGTCCGTCGATCCCGTGACCAGGAAGCCGGGGATAGCTGGGTTGATATCGAAGGCCGACACGGAGGAGTCGTGCGCCTGCAGCGACCACACGGGCTTCGACTCCTTGGGGGTCGCGGGGATGTTGCGCACGTCGTAGCGGTACACCATACCGCCATCGGTCGTCACGTAGAAGTAGTTGGGGTCATGAGGGTCCCAACGCACGTTCTCGACATCCGTATCCACGCCCCAGCGAGCCTTGGAGTCGGGCGCGCGCATGTCCGCGGCCACCACGGTCCGATCGTAACTACCAGTCAACAAGATCGTAGATTCGGTGGGGTGCCAGTTCAACGAGCAGACCTTGTCGGTGTGGTGAGAGTAGGACTTGGCGCACTTGGTGGTCTGCAGGTCCCACAACTTGACTGTCCGGTCCGCCGAGCCGGAGGCCAGCAGGTTGCGGTGCTGCCGGTTGGCAGCCAATGCCAGCACGGCGTCAATGTGGTACTCGTCGTTTGCCTTGGGTTTCTTCTTCTTCGACTTCTTGCCCTCCGCATCGGCACCACCCTGGCCGAGGATGGCGTTGGGATACATGCAGTCGACAATGTCGAGATCCCAGATCTCGATGTCCGGCTCCATCGTTCCAACTGCGACGAAGTTTCCCGTGGTTCGGCCCTCAGCGGCCTTGCCAACGGGGATATCCAGCCACTCCACGGCCAGAGGAATGGCAGGCAGCATGATGTCGTGGTGTACGTAGAGATTGTCGGCGGCGTCCTCGTAGACGTAGACCTCGAGATGGGCGACCTCATCCTCCACCTTACCAGCCAGAATCAGGTTATCCTTCGGCATGATCTGCAACTCCTCTCTTTCCTCATCCTCCTCCTCCGGCGGCATAACCAGGTACGGGTCCTCCTCGTTCGGTTGGTGATAAGCCAGCGACTTGACATTGCCGAACATGGTGAACTTCTCGCCATCCTCATCGACCTCGTCGCTGTCGTAGTGGTCGAGATCGTACTCTTTCAGGTCGTCATCACTACAATGAACCCGAAACATTAGATCTTCTCCCTCTCTCTCTCGGCCGCAATCTCCATAATACAAACAAACGACGGAGGATCTAATATCGACTTACTCGGTAGCAGTTTTCTTCTCCGCATCAGCCGCGGGCTTCTCATCGTCCTCCATAGCATCGTCGCCGCCATCCTTCTGATCCTCCTCCATGGCCTCGTCCTCTTGCGCAGCCTTCAGGTCACCCTGCGCTTCTTCGAGCTGCATCTTCGCCAGCTTCGATATGCGATCCATTTCCTCCTCGTTGATTTCATATTTCGTAGGGAACTGGGCTGCGACACCTTGTCGCACCCACGCCGCCGTGGTGATCATAGACGACATATTGAGTGTGAGTCGTCACCTTCTTTTGTCGTTTGGAACAAAAGTGGTAAGAAAAAATAGCGATAGTGAAAGAGAACGAGAAAAAAAAAAGAGTAGCGGCGGAAATCGATAAGAAATTCTCCGCGCGTAACCCCCCAACACAGGGGAAAAACTTCTTGCAAAAACCTTCAAGTCCTTGTCTAGGGTCAAAACCAGCAAGACGAACCTGCAACTCTGCCTCTTGACGGAGGTCTATATATCAAGTAAAGTGAAAAACGAAGTAAATCACCTGGAAAGACAATCCAGGGACAAAAAACAAATGCGATAACCCAACTTCCCAATCCAAGTTTTTTTTTTTTCTCTCTGCTTGATTCCCCCGCCCGGCAGAATCCCCCTCCCTCCCCAATGTCCCATATTCACCGCCTTGCTATCAAATCCCGGCCAGCTCCCGCTGGAAGTCGGAGTGGCTGCAACTCAAGTACGAGTAACTCAGGAATCGTTGCGCAATTGTCAGGTGCTCAAGTCCTACTTCCAACTACGATCAATTACCCAGCAGTAAAGTTCGCCGAAGAACAATACCAACAAAATGCATTCCCACCTTCACACCCCCTACAACATCAGTATGGTTCCCCCAACACTTCCCGCCGCAAACAATGAACCACCCCCCCTCCCCCAATTCTCAAGCCTCCAAGCCCTAACGTACGTGAACACAAACAGACTGCGAGGAAATCATGACTGCATTGGACGACTGCCACGCCCAAGGGTTCTTGCACAAGGCGCTGGGTAACTGCAACGACATCAAGCGCGAGGTCAACAAGTGCCTCTCGGAGCAACGCTATGCGCGCGCAAAGCAGAACCGCGACCAGGCGCGCGAGAACCGTCGACGGATTGAGAAGATCTGGGCGGACGAGAAGGTGTTTGAGGGGGTTCCTCCTCCTGCTGCTGCTGCTGCTGCTGCTGCTGAGGGGAAATAAAAGCCCTCGGGGTGACGAGATTGAAAAGGATGGCATGATCTTGTTCTATATTGTGCTGGCTGGAGATTTTTTATGGTTGGCGTGTAGGAATCTGTACTGTACTCTACTCACGCACACACACTCACACACACATTGCATCTGGGATTGGCGTTGGGGAAGGAGGATTACCATTTTTGTTCTACTTTTTTTTCCCATGATATGTTGTTTTGTGGTTACTGAGAGCTAACGTCTCTCGATTCCGGGTTGGGAAGAAAGATATCTCGAAAGGTATCTTTATCTTCCAATATGAAGATATGAAAGATTGGATATACAGCTCACTGCTCATACATATATGGACACATTTTTTTCTCTTCCATCCCAGCCGAACGCCATACTTAAAAATAGCAACAGAAAAACCAAGAAGAAAAGCGCAAACCAGATAAAAAAAAAGCAGATTATTCCTCCATGGCATCGCCCGCAGCCGGAGCCGCAGCAACGGACTCGCCAGCTTCATTGCCATCCTCCTGCTTAGCACCCTTGTTGTGATGACGACGTCTGCGCTTCGCCTTGGGCGCAGCAGCATCACCATCGACTCCTTCCTCCGCCGCAACCCCCCCCTCGGCCCCATCAGCGTCAGTATCCTTCCGCTTGGGCCGAGGCGCCGCCGCCGCCGCCGCCGCACCACCCTCGGTAGTCCGTTTCTTCGGCTTCTTCATACTCAACGGATTGGGCCCCTTGGCTTTCTTCATCCCCGGCTTCTTGCTGCTGCTACTGCTGTTCTTGGTATCTCCCGAGGCCGCCGCCGCCGCCTTAGCCTCGGCCTTCTTTCGCGCCTCCTCACTCAACCCCGCCCGGAACTTCCCTTGCTCGACGCCGTCGCGGATATCCTCCGAGGGGCCGCTCATGGGCTCCAGCACCATGACCGAGCGCTTAACATACACGATCGGCACGCCGGGGATGGCGCGCGCGCCCTGGCGCAGCTCCCGGGACTTCTGGATCGCGGTCTCGGCCTCGCGGTCCGTGCCGCGCTTGCGCTTCTTGCCCGCCGCGATCGCCGCCCGCTCCTTCTCCTTCTCCGCCGCGGCCGGCGCGTCCGCCGTCGCGAGGATGTAGTGCTCCTTGTTCTTCTTCACCTCCGTGGTCGGCGACAGCAGCGACAGGAGACACTCGACCTCGTCGATCGGGGTCGAGTCCTCGTTGTGCGAGCAGTGCCGGAGGGGCACTTCCGTCGGCGGGGGCAGGAAATGTGGACGTATCGGGTTGTTGGTGCGGGGGTGGAGGGGTTGATTGGCCATGATAGCGGCGAGTGAGCATTTCGTGAGGACTTTGGTGATGAGGGGTGGTAAATCAGTAAAACAGAATCAATCATGCAACCACACACATCATGTGTTATTTGGGTTTCATTCGGAGGGAGGGAGGGGGGCTTCAGGCTAAGAACTTACGCGGCTTCACCTTCCCTTGCACGGTGCGCTCCAGCGCCGGTATCAACTCCATCTTGAAACTGTGCACTGCGCGCAGGAAATTCGAATCCACTGAGCCAAAGACAATTTGTTAGATGTCGAATTTTTTCGATGGGCGGAGCAGATCTTATCAGCGTCCCTCTGGGTGAATTGTTGCGACTTACCCAGAACTTGGTACGGCTCACGGAATCCGAATGTGAGCTCATACTGGTGCATCAGCTTCCGGTACTTTTTGGAGCGTTTGGCCCTCATCGTGACGGTGGTGAATTGGCCGGATAAGGTGAGATCGATTCAGTTCAAAAGACGACGATGTTTCGGCTTGCTTCGATGATGTCTGAAACTTTTTTTCTGCCGGTGATTCTGCCGGGCGGAGAGTGCTAGGGGGGTGCGGTCTGTGCTTCGCTTACTAGCCGCAGCCAGGTACTCGTTTAGATAGAGACTGGACATCTCAACATAAAGGTTCAGTTCTTGAACTCTGCATTTATCCACTACATTTGTTTTCTTTCCTTCAGTGTGAAGGTGGCATATCCTAGGTAAGAGCCAAGGTAAGAGCCAGGGTTTTGTTTGGAGTCGTTTCCGCAGACTACAGGTTGTTCCTGCATCTACAATCTTGCCGGCCAAAGTATGAGATAAAAACATAGATTAGAAGTTGTATAGTCTATCAATCCAATCTGTAAGCAAAATGCCTAAGTTGGCAGACAGCGACGACTACTCCAAACCCCCTTCAAAGCAAAACACAAGTGGTATCAATGCCCATCGCCATGCAATATATACACCATACCTTCGCCATTCGACCATCTACACACACCCACTGAACGCCAAGGGCTGCCGTGACGCAACTGAGCGCCGTTCTGCCCTGTCGACAGTACGCCGACTGCCCAGGCGGCGTAATCACGCACGACAACACGGTATGAGACCCGAAATATTAGCCACCCATGTCGTAGTGGACATTCAGGTGGATCCTTGTATGCAAGTTATATCAATGCTTGAAATCAGACTCAATGCTCTCTCCTCCTGCACGCACCAACCACGACGCTGATATCGTCCATTTTTCCTGCACCGCGGGTCAGCATCCCTTTCTGCACCGAGACAGCGAGACCGGAAAAAGCTAAGTACACTTACCACCTTGAATGGCCAGACCCTCGTCGATTGCCTTCTCCATATATGGACTCTCCGCGAAGGGATCCTGCGCAATCTCCAACGTAGCCCGCAGCAGTTCCCTAGCGACATAGACCATCTGCTCATGGGCCAGCACCTCCGGCGGCGCCCACTCGATTTCCTTGTTGTCATAGCGCCCTTGGTGCCACTTGTCGAGGCTCTCAAGAACGACCGTCAGGATCTCATGCTCCCAGAGATTGTCCACGACGCCATCCGAGACCGCGAGCACGATGTCGCCCTCCTGCACGTCGATCTTGCTGAGCACCGCGTCCTTCTTCGGCGTGTCGACGCTGTTCGTGCCCAGCTGCATCGGACAGTCAAACCAGTGCCATTGCTCCTGGGTGCGGAAGAGCATCGTTTTATCGCGGGGCCGGATGACATAGATCTTGCAGTCGCCGAGACAGGTCACATACAGCAGCGGGTTCGTGTTCCCTGCATGATCGCGCGTGCAATGCAATAGGGCGGTGACTGAAGTGGTCGTGCCCAGCCATTGACCCGGGGAGCTGGTCGCTTGGATGGTTTCCTCGTAGGCCCGTTGTAGGTAGCCGATGGGGTCGAGTTGCGTACTCGTGTTGGAAACGCGCTCAACCTCCAGCGCCCAGAAGTGAAGGAGCAGTCTGGCCCAGAGACTGTATGGAGATCAAGCAAAAGAGAACGTGGTCAGCAATGAGCTTGGATGGAACAAGAAGACAACAAGATTCCTCTCTAAACCCTTGATTAGGTAGTCTACAGGGTCCAAGGGGAAATGGGGGGGGGGGGGGATTGACAATTTGGGGAACAAGGTTCGGAGATAACCAAAAAAGAAAAAAAAGAAAAACACCTACGCTGCATGGCCCTGGGGCTTGGTTGCCCACGCTCCTACTCCATCATTAACAGCCAGATAATTGTCGGCGACTAGAACGGCATCGTCCCCATTGTTCAAGCCCCGGACTAGATCACCCCGAACGGATAATCTCTTATCCTGACTGAGGTAGTGGGTGGTCAGGGGGTCGGAAAAGGAAGATGACGGGGGAGAGAGGAACGGTGGGGGGAACGGCCGCGGCGCGCGTTTGGCGCAAAGGGCATAGCCCGTCTGGAAGCAATACGGAGATTGCGAGATGGGGAAATGTGGGTTAAGATCTGGAACCGGCGTGGTGATGCCGTAGGATGGCCAAACGGCTCGATATCGCCGCACCGGCACTGCGGATGTTGGGGAGACCCTGGAGTGCGCGCTCCACAGTGGGCTGCGTCTAAAGGCTGACGAGGGAGATGAGGGGATGATGATGGAGGAGGAGGAAGAGGAGGAGGATGAGGAGCACACAATCGAGCTAGCAAGCGACTTGGGCACCATGCCCGCTAATGATTAGAGGGAGTCTTTGATAGGTATTACTGTCGTCGTCTCTCTACAACAACTCGAGAAGACCGACAGAGGAAAATTTTTTATTTTTGTTTCTTCTTTCCAGTTTTCTCTCGGACAGTCTGTCTGAAAGTAGACACCGCAGGGCAGGGTCGGGGCGGTTCCAGAATTTCCGAATTTCCCACTTCACTTGACTTGACTTACTCACCCTTGATCAGAGTCATGGTCAGTCAATAATTCACCAGTCAATCCGCTTGACTCAGCCGCCCCACCACCACCTGACTACTTGCTGCCTGAAGCCTCAGGCATTACTGACTGACTTGGTCGAAAATGGAAAATCCTGAGCAGATAAAGTGATGATCAACATCAATGATCTGGGGATCATCCAATATCACCCCACTACCTAGTAGTCCGAATATGTATCTGAATTGAGCACATACGTACAGACGCTTCAGGCTGATGATATCGAGCTTTCTGCACAACATTATTTCCCCATGTCTGCTTTGCATTTTTCCTGTTGTGCACATGGGTTGCTCCTCCACTCATTAAACCATCACGTCATAAATCATCAATCGTGACCGTGCAGAACGCACAAAACAAAAACAAACGAGGGAAGAAACAGATTTTCAGAATCGAGCACTTGCTCAGGTTAGGTTCTTTAGCAGCCATTGGCCGCCCGCAGCTTGTCGATCTCGTTTGCGATGGTGGTCAGTGCACCTTTCATCTCAACTGCGAGATAGCAGAGGTCTTTATCGTCCCGGATGGTCGATACTGCCTCGAAGATGCTCCTGGAGAGGATGTTACACCGCGAACCGAGCTTCAAGTGTGGAAAGTTCCGGCGATTCTCTAATGTCATGACGGTCAAGTTCCATCCGGCACAAGGACAAACACGCTCGGGGTTCATGGTACAGGCCATCGCACAGCTGCAGGGTGATCTACAGGTACATCTTCTCTCGCGAGCATAATCGATCAGACCACGTCGCTCATCCGTACGTCGAATTTCACCGATAACTCTGCTTTCCAGTATGGCTAGTACTGCCTGACGGTGCCCGAGGATAGTCTCACGTTCCCACGCCGCTGAGTCTACCGATTTTTCTTCCACGAAACGCAGGCGTAGTTGCGGGACCTTGGTGCGAATTGCGTCCCTAGGGGCGAATGACAGATACTTCTCTGACCCAACAATGAGAACTTCTTTAGGGGGCATCTGATATGTGAGGCCCGGGCCGTCCCATTTCTGGCGGAACTCCGATTGTGGATTTGCCAGCAAGGCCAGGGTGGACCGACGGTATCCGACGAGGTCATCAAGCGAGAACCCAGTCGCCCTCAGCGTATTCACCGCTCGACGGACAAGCCCAGCTTGGTGTTGGCGCAAGATGTCCTTGCTGAAAATCAGGCACACGGATGGACTGTCTAGGGATTCCTTACAGACCAGCAACATCTTCATTGTGCTATGCTGCTCGGGAAGCATAAAATCATCCTTGGTCGTGACGCGGGGGATCCCAAGGTGAAAGTAAGAGCATAGCTCGGCGTTCGCGATTTCCATGATCAGCTTGGCGTACAAGGAGTAATACAGAGTCTCCACAGCTCTGACCAGATCTTTGATACTGTTGGACGTCGCGAGCTCCTCTGCCTTCCGGATAAGTGCTAACAGGCCTTCATTATCGTCCAACTGCCACCGAAACTGCACGTGTTAGCCATGTTCACCCCCAAAGGAATTGAGACGTCAGAGTGTCCTTCACGCACGTCAACGTTGTAGAAGTAGAACACTACGACGACAAATTTGGCAATGGCGTAGACCTTCTTGTAGACCTTCATCACACTTTTAATCCAGTCTGTAAGATCCTCATTACCAGATGGATCCATGTATCTGACCAAGCCATTGACCAGACTCCAGTCAGGAGAGCCAATTGCGTAGGGAAGGGCGGGACGTTCGATCGGAACCATTTGCTGCGAGTCTCGGTCAACCCACAGGCTCAAAGCAGGGGATGATTCTAGAGAGCGAGGACGCGCAATCACCTCGATACAACTTACAGCTGATGCGTAGGATACCGCAGTACTGCCTGACGAGCGCAACCCCATCTCTTCTGCCAGTCTTCTGTAGTTTTCCTCCCCGCTTGTCTGAAGCAAATCCTGAGAATACTTATAGAAGCCATCCTGCTGGTCGCCGAAAAGGGTCGAGTCCACGGATTCCTGATAGGTATGACAGTGAGGATCGAGTTTCAAAAAGTGAGATTCGTCATCATCACCACGCGGGAATAGTTTGCGCCTGGTCGATGCCCATAGTTGCGATGCGGCTCTGTGGGCGCCCTTCATTTGAAGAGATAAGAGATCGATGTGACTTGATGTTCACTTGAGTGGTTGGTTTAAGAGTTACTTGAGTGATCGATGTGAAAGGAAAATGGAATGATGGATGGACGCGATAGCGCACGAGGGGTGACTGAGAAACAGTGCGAGTGATGAGAAAAGAAAGCGATAGCCAGGTGAAAGAGACCCAAACCCGGTGTCACAGTACAGCGAAGAGGTAAGGCGAAGTGAAAGTGAGCATACGGGGATGAAAGTGGTAGAAGCTAGCTAAGTACCAGACATTGTGTTGACATCGCGTGTGAGCGATGGAACAGAGAAGGTACAGGCGGACAGCTCAGCTGTGCTTGCTACTTCATCACACTTGGACCACCATCGATCTATATGCACAATTGCCAGTAGTCAAGCTCTCAAGTGTTTACAGCTTATTTGCTCCAGTTGAAGATACAAGGTGAGAGAAGCTCTAACATTAGTGAGAGGATTCTAATACAGAACATAAACTTGCTAGCCTCCTATGCCTACAACCAGCAAGAGATACAAAGGACATTTCGCCACCCATGCGCTGCGCCAGTGCATTTTGACAAGGACAAATAATGATATCAAACTATGAAGGCAGTGGATCAACTTCGATGAGGGCCTTGTCCCCATTCGACGTGTATGGTAGAATAACTTCTGGGATTCTCCATAAAATTTCATTTGCTCGCCTAATGAAGTCGGGCGGCAGATTCCCACTTTCGCTAAACGAGAGAGACTTCATATGGAGGAGAAAAAGTAATTAGCCTGCATCTCAGGGAAGACCACTCAGGGAGTTTAAGGTCGATTGACCCAACCATATATGTATGCTTACCTTTAAGCTGTTCAGACCTCTCACCCACTCAAGCCCCAGGTCACAAGCCTCGTCGGGTAGGCAAGGATAGTTTTCAACATGATAGAGGAGTATATCATGGCAATTTTCCAGCCATAGTACTTCCAACTTTGCTCCAGGAGCTGGACTGTCATCGTCCATGTTCGAGTCGTCGAGTTCTCCCTCGATGCCACCCAGCCAATCCAGGAATTCAGGCTGAACTCCACGACACGTCCTCAACTTGAGTACTCTCAGATTCGGGTTTCTTTTGACCAACATCATTAGCTGCCAGGGAGTGATACCAGCTCGCTCCATGACCAGACTCTGCAATCCGCGGGGTCCATAATGCGTGGGCTGTCCGATCCCAATCAGAGAGTTCCACGCAGTACTCCCCGGTGCGGGACTCAACCAAGCACTTGGTCGCATGGAACCATCGCGAATATGTAGATGTTCAAACCGCAGCGCAAGGTGGTTGAGAACATGTCGGCTATTAACAGCCAGAGCCGTCGCGCCCGTGACGTCGAGATTATATGCCATGAACTCGAGTTTCCGAAGCCCTCGCCCGTAACGATTGACCACCTGCGCCAAGATTCTGTTTTGTTCAGGAATTATATGCTCATAGGTCCGGAATGTCTCTTGCGTAAGATGTATTCGTCTTTTGTGGTCCTTGACTTTCACTGCGGGCTTGTAGGTCAACGGTGAGGCCCCGTGATTTGCCGCTGACTGAACGATTGATATTCTATAGCTGTCGCCCCGAACATTATCAGCTGAGCCCTCCAGCATCTGTTCTGGTGTCAACCATCCAGCTCGTAGTAGGGAGATAGCCGAATGAGAGCGCTTTTCAAAGACACCTAATCGTAGATCACTGAGGCACAGAGTATGCGACTCAAAGTTGCTGCGGCATGTCTCTCCAAAGGCTAGCAATGATTTAAGAGGCAGGTAAGAGAGAATGTGAAGGATAATTTCCAACGGTAAAGAGCTTATTTTATCAGACATCATGGGGTTCTGCCGGATGTCTCAGCCTGCCGTGGAAACGGTTTCAAAATCGCAAGGGAACCTGCCAATTAGTTTATAAGCGATGGTCCCCGACACGCCTCGTTTGCACACTAACATTCGCCATCCAGCATGACTGGGACCTTATGTGATTAAGACAGCTAAGATCAGCTGAGTCGTTCGCCGGAGCCGAGAATGGCGCGCTCTTACCTGTCGAATCGTAGCTGAATTATCAGTGTCGCAAGTTTGTTTATCCCCGCATCAACTCCGGTTCCGAAACAACAAGGGTTGTGGAGGGGCGTCTGTTCAATATGAAGAATGATCGGAGCTATTATACCACTATGTGCATGATGTGAGAGAACGAAGAACGCAAGAAAAGAAAAGGGGGACGAGAGAGAACGCAAGGATGAGACACCCACGAGGAGTGAGGATGTCCCGTAAATCACGGGGAAATCATTCCATGCAGGTGGGGACTTTTTCTGGCTGCACCATCTAGATCCAATGGCCTCATCGCATCCTCATTGGGACAATGCATATTGAGCTTATGGAAAGGCTCAACCCTTGGCATGAATCGGTCCGGAACAACTGAAGCGATGGAGGCCCTTGTGGAGGCTAGTCTAAAGGACGACTTCTTTAGTCGCGGTGGGTAACCCGGAGAAAGCCAACAGCAACGGCGAGTCAGTCGCCATTGACACTAAAAGGTCAAGGCTAACTGCAATCAAGCCTAGAATAGGTTGCCTTCTAAAGTAGCGAAATAAGGTGGAATTGGGCTTTCATATTCATTCTAACGGAACCAATTTCGAATTTCCCGTTGTACTCTTTTTTTCCTTTTTCGTTTTTAATCCTTGCAGACCGGCTGCTGGGCGATTCGCTGGCTAGACAAAGCCTTGAAGTACGGGAATCCATTCGAATGGACGATGCGATCGGGTAGCACAGCTGCATGCTGAGCATGGGCGCGCTCATTGTGGGCAATCTGAGTGTGACACCTGAGCCTCACGACCTGCATGAATCACTATCAGCAGTAACCCTATTTTCCTAGGTCTAGGTGCACAGTGCACACCAAAGAACGCCAATGCAGCCGGTACCCCCAAGGTCGGGATGATTATAATAAAAGGGTAGTACTATTGCGGTGATGCTGTAGGGATGCAGCGCCAGACGCAGTGGGCTGAGCTAGCGACTACAGGGCATCGCACGTACAGTACAGTACGTACAGTATTTACTGTGGTTACTTGTAGATCTGCCGCGAGCAGTTGCGGGCCCCTCCTCGGGTGGAAAGCACTGACTTGGTTCCATTGATTCCCACACATGACCGAGATCCTCCAATAGCAGGCAGGGTGTGGTGAAAGGTTGGTAGCTGATTCAATAAGTACCTCCTAGTAGTACTAGGTAGCTTGTCCTGTGGTCCCTTTTGAGCGTTACGTACGGAGTAGCGAGATCATAAAACGGATGGATGTCCGCGAGGACAATAAAGGAGACACTCCCGGTAATACTGGAACTCGATGTGACAGGCAGCAGGTGACCCAATTCTGAGACTCGAGCGATTGGCCGTTAACCGTAACGCCTTGTGAATGGAGGGACTCGTCTAGTAAGTCCATCGATAGTAGTTCAACAATGCAACGACGCAGCGATAGCGCAGTTGTGCTCTTTTTAGGCGCGTGCCAGTAAATTCGGGCTGCTTGTGGCGGGAAGCGTTGGAAGGTCGAGCTTGCAATAGTTATTGCTTCCCGCCCTATACTCGGGTCGGCTCGGCGAATTTGTTAGTTGCTGGTCACATATTCTCAAACTACATGTTTTCGTCGCAAAATTAGCTGCTATTAACCAGCCTTCAAGAGGAGAAATCAAGGGCATGGAGTACTTGGCTGAATGGACAATATGGCAGGGATAGGTAAGAATGGTCAAATGAGGCAAAAAGGGTAGAATTCGCCCTGGACTCAACATTAGTTGAGCCCAGTGAGGGGGACATGTCCCTTAGCACTGCAGGTGACAGGTAGTTCTTTGATCATTCTGGCATTACTGTATTGCTGTCAGCACTTCCACACCCACCCCTCTGCTTGTCACGGTTCATCTTACGCACGCTCAGAAGCAAGGGTACTCTGCACTGTTGCTGATCGATTTCCAATGAGACTACTTCTAGGCCCATGCGCCTGTCAACAGTAGAGCTCAAACAAAGACAAATACAGGCAAGGAATAGAAAGAAAATGAGCATACGATACGAGTAAAGCTATACAACTGAGAAGCAAACAACTTCGGCCTATGCATGTATGCATTGTCTCCAGCACTACCCCTCCGCCGAATTGCAATATTCTATACAGAGAGAACAAGAAGCCCGCTATCCTACCCCTGGACCCGGAAAGTACGGCCACTGGCTGTCTTCCTCTCCCGCTCTTCGTTCTCGGGTCTCGCCCGGTTGAGTACTGCCAGGAATTAGTGACATGAACCCAGTCGAAACCCGACCGACATCGAGGCTTACCTTGGAGGAAGTCTGCAGTCCTCTTGCGCATCCGAGTGTGGATGTATGCCTTTCTGATGTGTTAGCGCCTGTTTTATGGGACAGGAAGCAAGAGCAAGAGCTACCTTGGAGGCTTTGATGTGGTAGTGGAAGTAGTCACGGAAGATCTGGATGTGGGAAATGTTTTCATAGCGTCTTTGAGGTGTCAAATGGCGAGGGAAAAGAACTATTCTCGATCAGTGGAAGTTGCAAGACAAAGAGAAAGGAATGCTGGGTGCGCAACTTACCAAATGTGACGTAGCTCAGTGTGCCGTCGTTGACGTTCTGCAGACCGGGCACCCCAGCCAACTCGAGAGGTGGATCGTTGCGGAAAAGCACTTGAGGAGCGTTCTGCAGCGTCAACACACGACGTCTGGCATCAACGAACTCCTGCAAGAAGACTTTGCCGAAAATGCGATCCGTTTCCTCCCGGAAGACGGTGCTGAAGATGACTGTGACTCGATCATGGCTGGCCTTGATGTAAATCGCCTCCTCTTCACGGTAATGGATAGCCATGACCTCTCCTCCTTCCTTGACTCCCTGAGGAGCCGATTCTGTGGTGTATCTCGAAGCCTCCTCCGATAGCTTTGCGAATTCGTCGAATGCTCTTTCGAAAGGGGCGGCCATCGCGTTCCGCTTCATCAGCGCCAATCGCATGATAAGGTCATCCTTTGCTTCCTGCTCAGCGGGGAGGTTCTCCAAGTCGATCAAGACGGAGAAGTCGTAGCCAGGCTCCGGGTCGACGATATAGGGGCCATACTCCCTTTCCAGCACTTGTTGGGCACCATATTGAACGAGCTCTCGGAAGCACTTGACTTGGATGGAGATGAGTATTTTGGTCTTGGATTCGGGAGTAGACAGATGGAAGGTGACGCCGTCGAAGTCGGAGACGATCTGGTCAATTGAAACTGGGGTGGATCTGTAGTGAGCATCAGGCGACCTGTTAGCTAGGAGCCTGGTGTATGTCGGAGGGGGCGGGGGAAATGGGGGGTTGTACCCAGAGAACCGCTCCGTCAAGAGGGAGTGGATAAGCACGTTGTGGTAGTCTAGTAGAAGCATGGTGATAAGCACACTCAAAGAGGCTGATATGAATCGAAAAGCGCCCGATGTTCTCTCTGGAATGCCTTGGTGATCTGGACTTATCAACAATGGTTCACTGCCACGAGGGGGTAATTACGTTGATGATGCTCGGGGAACGGCAGGCGGTGGGGAGGCTCCGAGTGGTCGCTGTCGCTCTCCGTAGTTGCGGGCGCCATTTGCGCCTATCGATAGCATTCATTCTCCGAGCTCCAAAATTTTTCCAGAGGCACGCACCCAACGATGGTGAAGTCATATTTGTGAGTCTCACGCTCTCCGACCATGCCATATTCATAGAGCATCATCTGACTGCTGACCTGGACAGAAAGTTCGAGCATTCGAAGACTTTTGGGCTCGTCGCATCCGGCTCGTCCAATGCGATCTGGGCCCGCGATGAGGATAGCCTGGGTACTGCGCGTCGGACTGGCTCCGGGAGAGCCATCGTGGGCGCAAGTGAAGAAGTCCTTTGCTGGGATGTCAAGAAGGGAGAATTGCTAGGTAGATGGCGAGACTCGGCCTGTAAAGCACAGGTTACAGTGATCACGCATAGCAAGACGGACGAGGATATTTTTGCGGTGGGGTAAGTCTCCATCATGATTCTTGGATGACCGATGACCCTATTTTAATACTTGTACTTACTTCGTACGTCTCAGTTATGAAGATGGAAGCATCCGCCTCTGGGATTCGCGGACCGAATCCGTCATCATCTCTTTCAATGGCCACAAGTCCGCCATTACCCAACTCGCCTTCGATAACGCCGGAGTTCGTCTGGCGAGTGGTTCGAAAGACACGGACATCATCCTGTGGGACTTGATTGCAGAAGTTGGACTTTTCAAGATGCGTGGGCATACCGACCAAGTCACCTCCCTGAATTTCCTTACACCATCCACCGAATTGCTCAATGCTGCCGGCCTCAGTGATCATGCGGGCTTTTTGCTGTCGACGGGAAAGGATGCGCTCATCAAAGTCTGGGATTTGGCTTCGCAGCACTGTATTGAGACCCATGTGGCTCAATCGAATGGTGAATGCTGGAGTTTGGGGCTTTCCCCTGACGAGAGTGGTTGCATCACCGCTGGTAATGACGGAGAACTCAAGGTTTGGTCTATCGATGAGAGTGCTATGATCGAAATTTCCAAGGAGAAATTCGGATCTGAAGGTCAGAAGATTCTGACAGACAGAGGAACACTCTACCGCACCGGCAAAGATCGCACGATCGGAATCAGCTTCCACCCCCGGTCGGACTACATCGGCATCCACGGTTTGGAGAAGGCAGTTGAGATTTGGCGGATTCGCTCGCAGGTCGAAGTGCAGAAGAGCCTGGCAAGGAGGCGCAAGAGAAGAAAGGAGAAGGATGCGCAGCGTGCTGCAGACAAGGAAGGAGCAGTCGCCGAGACTGACAATAAAACGCCGGACGACGACGCCGCGTCTGCACCGGTTT